ACACAATCACAACACGAGGGGAGGGCTTGGCTTCCTTTTTTCTGCCTTCTTTGCAGTCATACTTTCTTTGCTTACAGTGGGGCAAAAAAGTATTTAGTCAGCCACCAATTGTGCAAGTTCTCCCACTTAAAGGGAATCCCAATGAGTACAGTGTGTGCGAAACGGGAAAAGCTTCAGACGCGTGAAGCAGGCAGCTCCATTTTAAGCCCCTCTCTCGGATCTGGTTGTGTTGAAATCCTGGAGGAGGAGTGTTACTCTTTCATGTTCGGTTAAAAGGATGGTCCACACGACAGGCTATGCACACAGGCATTTCACATGAAAAGAATTGCAAATGTGCTCCAATTCTCAGACGAGTTAAACTTCCAGTTTCTAATACAGCTGTGATAAAAGAGTCTTTCTAGGCATGAAAGAGAGACAAAGAAAGATAGCATATGTATGACAAGCACACTGCATCGATAGTGACAGACATTCATGTACAAACAGATTTCCAGTATGGCACGTGAACAGAAAACATTTACAAAACCCAGTTAGCAGTGTTTAAAATGTCTCAATATAGTATACTTGTCTCCATAAGGCAGACAATTCCATGTGGAATAAAACTGATATTAAATTCTATCAATAATATTAGGGAAGCACTGATAGGACATTTGTAAGCTGATAATTGTTTTTATGTTGTCTGATAACCGATGAATGAACAATGATATAACAATTCTAATTTATTCTCTCTGAACAGATTTAAAAACAATTAAGCCTCATAATATTATAACGTACGGTATGAAAAATAGACATACTTAAGATTTGCTAAAGACTGATCCGTGAAGTGAAGTGAAGAAAGAAGTGAAGTGACATGTGGCCAAGTATGGTGAACCCATACTCGGAATTAGTGCTCTCCATCCAAAGTGCACACACACAGCAGTGAACACACACAAACCGTGAACACACACCCGGAGCAGTGGGCAGCCATTTATGCTGCGGCGCCCGGGGAGCAGTTGGGGGTTCGGTGCCTTGCTCAAGGGCACCTTGTCGTGGTATTGAAGGTGGGAGAGAGCGCTGTACATTCACTCCCCCCACCTACAATCCCTGCCGGTACGAGACTCGAACCTGCAACCTTTGGGTTATGAGTCCGACTCTCTAACCATTAGGCCACGACTTCCCCCACGACTGTTAATTAGTTAACAGTCTTATTAACTAATTACTCCTTGAATTATTGAATTGAATTTAAAACAAATGTAAGATAGTGAAACAAATAATTTTTACTTTTTTTTTACTGTACTTTTTTCTTTGATCAAATAAATGGAGTCCTGCTGAGCATTAGATAATTCTCTCAGAAAGACTCCATTCATTTGATTAAAGAAAAAAGGTATAGTAGTATAGTTAAAAAAAAAGATAAAAATTGTTACAATTTCAAATAAATGTTTTCTATTCATTTAAAAATTAAAATTAAATGTATTACTGTGATGGCAATGCTGAATTTTCAGCAGCCAGTCTTCAATGTCACATGAGACTTTTAATATACTGATTTGCTGCTCAAGTAATATTTCTTACTGTCAATGTTAAAAAAAACTTTTTTCTGGATTTTTTGATGGATAAAGTTATAAAAACAACATCCATTTGAAAAAAACCTTTGTCTACTCGTACATTATGTGGTTTGTTTTTCATTCAACAAAAAATAATTTTGTGTTTAGACGTCAAATGTACTATTTGTTTTGTTTCTACTGCCTTTAAGTCAAAATGAAGAGTCAAACTTTATCAGTCTAGCTGATGAAAAGGCAATCTGCAAGCAAATGCGCCGCAGACGACAGAACGGTATGAAAAATAGACATACTTAAGATTTGCTAAAGATTACATTTAAGAAGTGAAGTGACATGTGGCCAAGTATGGTGAACCCATACTCGGAATTAGTGCTCTCCATCCAAAGTGCACACACACAGCAGTGAACACACACAAACCGTGAACACACACCCGGAGCAGTGGGCAGCCATTTATGCTGCGGCGCCCGGGGAGCAGTTGGGGGTTCGGTGCCTTGCTCAAGGGCACCTTGTCGTGGTATTGAAGGTGGGAGAGAGCGCTGTACATTCACTCCCCCCACCTACAATCCCTGCCGGTACGAGACTCGAACCTGCAACCTTTGGGTTATGAGTCCGACTCTCTAACCATTAGGCCACGACTTCCCCCACGACTGTTAATTAGTTAACAGTCTTATTAACTAATTACTCCTTGAATTATTGAATTGAATTTAAAACAAATGTAAGATAGTGAAACAAATAATTTTTACTTTTTTTTACTGTACTTTTTTCAGTCCTGCTGAGCATTAGATAATTCTCTCAGAAAGACTCCATTCATTTGATTAAAGAAAAAAGGTATAGTAGTATAGTTAAAAAAAAAGATAAAAATTGTTACAATTTCAAATAAATGTTTTCTATTCATTTAAAAATTAAAATTAAATGTATTACTGTGATGGCAATGCTGAATTTTCAGCAGCCAGTCTTCAATGTCACATGAGACTTTTAATATACTGATTTGCTGCTCAAGTAATATTTCTTACTGTCAATGTTAAAAAAAACTTTTTTCTGGATTTTTTGATGGATAAAGTTATAAAAACAACATCCATTTGAAAAAAACCTTTGTCTACTCGTACATTATGTGGTTTGTTTTTCATTCAACAAAAAATAATTTTGTGTTTAGACGTCAAATGTACTATTTGTTTTGTTTCTACTGCCTTTAAGTCAAAATGAAGAGTCAAACTTTATCAGTCTAGCTGATGAAAAGGCAATCTGCAAGCAAATGCGCCGCAGACGACAGAAATATATTAGCACTAGATATCTGTGTGGCCTTCTCCTTGAACATCTCATTGCGGCACGGACCGACAGTGAGATAAAGACACAGCGAGCCCATCACTCACCCGCCCATCGCTCGTAGATGCTGTTCATCACCATGGGGGGCTGAGTGCTGCCATCTGATTGGCCGAGGTGCCCCGCCTGCCCCACACAGCTATCAAAGGATCGATTGAGAATTTGCCGTGCTTCCTGGAACTCCTGCGAGAGAAAATGAGAGAAGTCGTGTCACTGTATCGATTCTGTTTGTGAATTATGGAAACAGAAGAGGCAAATCTGAGCGCTGGGATAGGTAAAGACTTTCAAATAGCAGGCAGATCGTTACGCCGGCTTCGGGATTCATCACAAAACAAATACCACATTAAGACTCGGGTTTTGGAGGAAAGAAAAGAACGAGAGATGAAAACAGCACAAGAATCTGCTCCTGGAAGTGCTCTTAATTCATCTGATTAGTCTAGATGTCAGTGGCATGAAGGATTTAAGCCACTCACACAGATGTTACAGATTTTCACTCAAGAGCCTCTTCACAAGATGGCCGCCACACCTGATTTCCCGGCCAAGAAGGCCGCCACGCATGAGTCTCGTCCCGTAATGGCTGCCAACCCAGAGACTGTACATAAAATGGCTACCAGAGTAGAGACTTTGTACAAAATGGCTGCCGTTCCAGAGTCTCGTTCAGTCATGGCCACCATTCCAGTGACACCTCACGTCATGTCGACCATGCCCAGAGCCATTAAGTCAGGCCCAGGTTATTCGAGACTAGCATCCAGTGTAGATTCTACGCTCCCGATCCACACAGATTCTGCGCCCCCAAGCCACGTAGTCTCAACGCTCCCTAGCCACGTAGATTCGGTGCCCTCAAGCCATTTTGAGCGTGTGGGCGGCACACTGTGCTCCAGAGACCTCTCCTGTCCATGAGTCTGTCTCAGAGGTCTCTTCTGTCCATGAGTCTGCCTCAGAGACCTCTCCTGTCAATGCATCTCTGTCAAGTCCCTGAGTCTGCTACAGTGCCTCCAGAGGTGGCGGCGTACGCTGCAGGACTTCCAGAGGTGGTGCCAACCTCTGAACTCTCAGTCTGCTCTGTCATGGCTATGAAGTGAAGTGAAGTGACATGTGGCCAAGTATGGTGAACCCATACTCGGAATTAGTGCTCTCCATCCAAAGTGCACACACACAGCAGTGAACACACACAAACCGTGAACACACACCCGGAGCAGTGGGCAGCCATTTATGCTGCGGCGCCCGGGGAGCAGTTGGGGGTTCGGTGCCTTGCTCAAGGGCACCTTGTCGTGGTATTGAAGGTGGGAGAGAGCGCTGTACATTCACTCCCCCCACCTACAATCCCTGCCGGTACGAGACTCGAACCTGCAACCTTTGGGTTATGAGTCCGACTCTCTAACCATTAGGCCACGACTTCCCCCACGACTGTTAATTAGTTAACAGTCTTATTAACTAATTACTCCTTGAATTATTGAATTGAATTTAAAACAAATGTAAGATAGTGAAACAAATAATTTTTACTTTTTTTTTACTGTACTTTTTTCTTTGATCAAATAAATGGAGTCCTGCTGAGCATTAGATAATTCTCTCAGAAAGACTCCATTCATTTGATTAAAGAAAAAAGGTATAGTAGTATAGTTAAAAAAAAAGATAAAAATTGTTACAATTTCAAATAAATGTTTTCTATTCATTTAAAAATTAAAATTAAATGTATTACTGTGATGGCAATGCTGAATTTTCAGCAGCCAGTCTTCAATGTCACATGAGACTTTTAATATACTGATTTGCTGCTCAAGTAATATTTCTTACTGTCAATGTTAAAAAAAACTTTTTTCTGGATTTTTTGATGGATAAAGTTATAAAAACAACATCCATTTGAAAAAAACCTTTGTCTACTCGTACATTATGTGGTTTGTTTTTCATTCAACAAAAAATAATTTTGTGTTTAGACGTCAAATGTACTATTTGTTTTGTTTCTACTGCCTTTAAGTCAAAATGAAGAGTCAAACTTTATCAGTCTAGCTGATGAAAAGGCAATCTGCAAGCAAATGCGCCGCAGACGACAGAAATATATTAGCACTAGATATCTGTGTGGCCTTCTCCTTGAACGTCTCATTGCGGCACGGACCGACTGTGAGATAAAGACACAGCGAGCCCATCACTCACCCGCACATCGCTCGTAGATGCTGTTCATCACCATGGGGGGCTGAGTGCTGCCATCTGATTGGCCGAGGTGCCCCGCCTGCCCCACACAGCTATCAAAGGATCGATTGAGAATTCGCCGTGCTTCCTGGAACTCCTGCGAGAGAAAATGAGAGAAGTCGTGTCACTGTATCGATTCTGTTTGTGAATTATGGAAACAGAAGAGGCAAATCAGAGTGCCGGGATAGGTAAAGACTTTCAAATAGCAGGCGGATCGTTACGCCGGCTTCGACATTCATCACAAAACAAATACCACATTGAGACTCGTGTTTTGGAGGAAGGAAGAGAACGAGAGATGAAAACAGTGCAAGAATCTGCTCCTGGAAGTGCTCTTAATTCATCTGATTAGTCTAGATGTCAGTGGCATGAAGGATTTAAGCCACTCACACAGATGTTACAGATTTTCCCCAGAGAGAAAGACAGAATGGTAATTCATTTCATTATCTTGCCCCCAGGCCTGAAGCGCCACTATGAAATATGTTAATTCGATTGGCAGGTTTCAAATGCTGGAGAGATTCAGGGTGCAGCGCATCAGATGGGTCTTCTAATGGCCTGTTCGTATACTGCACATGCTGCCCGCATTCGGTTAACTCTGGATCATTAGGAAAGCAAACCGCTCGCATAAAATATTGTAAATCAAGGTGTATGTGTGTGTGTGTTATTTTTTGAGCCCCTGAGTGTCTGAAGGTCTGAAAACAGTAATTATGGAGAGGGCCAAGAAGTCGTGTCTCCACTGGAATAGGGGGCACCTGTTCAGCATTGTTATGTTTAAACATTCATGTTTTAATGTTAATATTTGCCTGATGTGACCAGCCAATATGTAGCACACTAAAGGCTGGAATACACAAAAAAAATCTGAATAGATTTGAAAATACTAGGCATCATACACATATTGACATTATAAATGGTTAGAGAATAACCGGGCATCATACACTAAATGACTGAGTATCAACCACTACCTGATTTTCAAGTAGCACTGAACACAAACTCATGTGCTGTTACGAGATGCATGACAAATTAAAAGAATTGCTTCGTCCAAATATTAAATAGTATGTAAAAAAACAGCACAGCAAAAGAATAGTGTGTCCAAATTCATAGTATTTGACAAACAGTAGGCGGAAAGTAGCCGGATGTCATACTACTTCAGTGCAGAGATTCTCAAGTGCACATTTGATGGAGACTTCTATCCCATGAAGCCATGGGAGCGAATTTGTGAACGGCAGTAAAGCGACACAACTGACACTGGTAGGTCATGTGACTGGCTCTGCACCCCTTTACCTAAATTCATTACTTCAGATTTATGTGCCCTCTAGAAGCTTGCTTTCTGCAAGTGAACGTAGCTTTATTGTGCCATCCCAAAGAGACACACAATCACTTTCACAGACTTTTACATTAACTGTTCCCTCCTGGTGGAATGACCTGCCCAACTCAATCCGAGCAGCTGAATCCTTAGCCATCTTCAAGAATCGGCTAAAAACACATCTCTTCCATCTTTATTTGACCCTCTAACTCTAGCACTCTCTACTCTAATTCTATTCTTAGAAAAAAAACGTACCCCTTTTAGACTTGCACTCTATTCAATTACTAACTGCTTGTTTTCTTATTAAAAAAAACACTAGCTTCTCTAATCTTTTTGTATTCTATCTATTTATCTTTTTATTTATTATACAATTAACAAAAGCAAAAAAGGCCTCTAACACTAGCTTGCTCTATTCTTTTTTTTATTCTATCAGTTTTCTTTTTTTTTATTATATAATTTAAAATAAAAATCCTTGCTACGTGTACGGCGTTAAGCTAACTGAGACTTGTTATAGCACTTGCATATCATTGCTCTTTTGTTGATTTTGATTGCTTCCATTGTCCTCATTTGTAAGTTGCTTTGGATAAAAGCGTCTGCTAAATGACTAAATGTAATGTGATGTAATTTAATGTAGGATATTGAAAATATATAGAACTTTTAGTACTTTTTTGCCGGTTGTAGGTTTCAAACCAAATGTAGTATGTACTAGACAGTTTGCGATTTTGAACCGAGAAAATTTGTTCTAAAAACGTCTAAAAATATCAAGCATGTTTGATGTCCTCCAACTCAGTCTGTGAGGTAAAAAAAATTGGCCATTATACACTGCGATTTTCTGTGAAATCTGTCAATTTCAACAATTAGCACAGACTCATCCAGCGTACAGAGTAAATCAAGGCGATTATCTGTACAAAAGTCCTTAAGTGTTTTTAAGTCTTAAAAGGTACAGTAGCAGAAACACTCTGTTTAATTTAAAGGCAGAGATAGATAGTAGGGTCGTGACGGTGAGGAATCGTCCCTGATCGACGTGTGACAACACTGATAATACCGGTATCACCGTGGGGGCGGGGGCGTTCCCTCTTTTCCTGCTTTCCTCTGCTTTTAAATAGCTTGCGAAAGCTGTGTGCGCATTTTACTTTCACTTTCAAATAGCGGCAATTCGGAGTAAAGCAATTGTTCATTTTTAGTTCGTTTGAATTTTCCTCTTTTCCTCGCTTTCCTTCGCTTTTAAATAGCTTAAAAGCATTCGAACTGCCGCTTGGAATTAGCAGCAGTTCGGCGTCAATTGCTTGAATGCAACAACAAAATACAACGTCACACTCACTTTAGCGTATATATAAAACAGAACTTTTATTAACAAAACAAATACACCATGCTATAGGGCAGGCTATGCCTAATATAAAATAACAAATAACTTACATAAAGTTTAAATAGGTATACAAAACTGGAAATAGGCTAAGTAAACATGTATAATATATAACCAAATAAATACGAAACGTAGAACGTTTATTAGCAAAATGAGTAAGAAAGCTTTGGTTGGTGACGCGGTGGGCAAGTGACGTAACCGGTGTTTTGCGGCTTAACACCGGTATCAATGGCGGCAAGCCTAATAGATAGTGGAAAACAGTGGTGTATAACTAAATTGGGAGTGGTTTTGGTGCAAGAAGGCTTGACTTGAAGTGGACTTTGGGGAAAAACAAAATGCTACAGAAGTGTATAATGTGGTCCTTTTAATGTTAACGTCAGTAAGAGCAGGCCTATGGAGGGGTGGCCTGTGGGGAACAGAACGCAGGCTGCCAGGAGAGGAAACAGTGACTGGGACTAAATGAGATTACAGGAGGGGATCAATGAGGATTCCCCAGCCAACTTTTCCATTTCCCTTATAATATTTATCAGAGTAAAAAAAGGAGGACATAGAGCTTGCAATTTTGAGAGGATGAGACTCTGAAAACGCAGCTGAATCAATAAAAATTAACAGGAAATGTTGGCAGTGGGACGAGGGAGTGTAAAAAGTGTAGTGTAGAGTGTTTTAGGAGGTTCGTGCAGTGGATGGAGGGATGCTGGGATGGAAATGTTGCTGAACTGCAGTTTAACCAGGAGCACAAAGGTTCTGGTAGCCTGGCTATTTACTTCCTCCGTCATCTAGACAGTTCTTCAGTGAAGGCCAGAATACACCCAGCTGGAACAACTGTCAATGTGTGGTGTGAAAATCATATTTAAATGTTTAACATACAGTTATTTAGAGTGGTATTTTGAAGCAATGGTGAGCGGGGTGGATGGGGCTATCCAGTGTGATGTTATGAAAACAAAATACTTTTTAAATTGAATTAAAAAAGCAATCAAGAACCAACATTTAGAGAATTTAAGTGCAAGGAAGCTGATTTAAAATGAAATTAAGTATAAATAAATCCACAACACTGCTGTAACAGGATATTAGGGAAGTTTCTGATACACTTTTACAATCCTTACATACTATACAAAAATGTGTAATGTATTTTATAAAGTTGTAGTATCTGAAAACAATGTTTTCAATGTTCTCAATGTTTTCAAAACAAAGAGGGAGAGTGAAAACTGCGTGCTGAACACTGCCGGGCGGTGCGGCGTGGCATCCATTTTCAGCGGCCGAAAATTCGGTGCATCCCTATTATTAATTGTAATAACCCTAATGAAAAATAAATATACTTAATTGCATTTATAATATATATATATATATATATATATATATATATTATATATACTATTAAGTATTTTTATTTTTCATTAGGTA